TTTTTTTAGCATCTCCAATGGCGCGGGTCAAGTTCTTCCAATGTCATTCGTTTTTTTTTTCTTCCACCCCAAGTATTTAATCAGCCCGTAGGTGACAGCTAAGTTCCCTGTATTACTATCCCCCCCCGATCGAATTCGAAACTAACCTTCTCTAGGGTCTTGTCACTGGCATCATGGGCGTTGTCTTTTTCGTTGTCAATGCAGTATTCGCCCTCATCCTGCTTATTTTGGTCCTCATCTCGTCCGTGTATGCTATCGTGTCTAAGAATCCAGATACGCGATACCAGCCCATGAGAGACGACCGCGGATCCTTTATTAAATCCCAGACTCAGCTGACAACCGAGCTCGATGCTCTTGGAGCGACCGCTCGTGGTGAAACGAAATCATTTGAGGACTCGTCCTCGCTATCCGGCTTTTACCCTAACAGGGCAGATTCCCCAGCACAAAGCCTACAGCGTCAACAGCCACACTCTCCGTTGGAATCTTCTATGCCTTTATTCCCTGCCGACAGCTCTGCTCGTAGTGTCCCACCTCCAACATATCAAACCCAGGCTCCATACTCTCGAGCACAAAACATATCGCCTGCGCCCCGAAACATTACCACATCTCCTTTCCCAAGCTCTCCATCGGCGACTTCGAATCCGGCTCAATATAGGATGAACAACAGCAGTAGTCCATGGCAACGCGGCGCAGGATACGAGCATTAAGGTTTTGGAGAATGGATGATGCTGGCATTTGCCCTTATTCCAAAAAATGAAGAGATGACCTGGTCAGCTCTAACGCTGGGAAATAGCTTTGTCCTTTTGCTTATTTTATTTTCACAGTAACATATTCTCGCGGGTTGGACTTGTTTGGCGTCAAATCATGTCACTTAAAAGGCTATTTTTTATCTTCCTTTTTACTATTTTTTATTTATCGTAAGCTCTTGCTCTTTGAATGAACTTGAAACATTCAATCCCGTCCTCACCCCACAGATTATACACTTAGCTTTCCCTCCTTGCAACCCACTCTACTGATTTTTGTTTTTCCTATATTCTCTTTAGGCGTTCGATGTGGTATACATTTCTGTAATCTGTGGAAAAGAAACCAAGTTTGTTGCATATATTTTTGTAAACAATTATTTTTATCCCGCCTTTCATTCTTTAATATTTAACTTAACCGCGGGTTGGTCTCTGTACAATCTCTTGTTTT